TTCCCCATTCCCCTGCCCTTCTTTGTTCCCATCCCCACTCCCTATTTACAAAGACTTTGCTTCAGTTTTTTCCTTTCCTCATATTTATTCTTTTCCCTTCCCCTACCTCTTCCACTTCCCCTTCCCCATTTTTTTTTATTTTGTTGAGATATAGAAAACAAGATGGCCACACTTCTTAGAATAACACGTGAGGACAGAGACCTTGTGAGACCTATTGACGTTATAAATAGTCCATTCTGCTTACTTCTTAGCAATGAGCGGTTTTTGTCAAGAAACCAAGTATATCCTATTACGATGTAAGAATAATAATACTAATCTTTTAGTATAGATAGTGGCCATGCCAATTTTGTTACTACGTTACTCTCAATATTCTAGGTGGTTCAGAGAAGTTTCTGGATAACTTGAGATGTCACTATATGTAAAGAAAAAGCAAGCTGCTTAAGCTGAAGCACTGTTTCAATGCAACTTGAAAGAAATAGATGATTACTGGAATTAGGTGGATGATTTCTACGGATTGAAATGAAATCACTGAGCCATTTGCCTCTCTCTTGCTTTTCTGAGGTAGTCCATATGACTTACATATTATTGGCTCATTTGTTAATTTACATAACGGTTACTGAACACCTACCGTATGCTTGGTATTACTACAGATACTGAGGAATCATTGGTGCATAAAAGAGGTAAAAAAAAAATCACCCTCTTTATGAAGCTTATATTTATGTGGATAAGAAGCATGAACTCATGTATAGGGGATAAGTGAGAATACATCATTAATTTATATTGATAAGATAGTTAAAGATATATAAGGTAATATAAAATAAGATTCGTGCATAAAAAGATAATAAAAATAAAATAGTTAACATTGAGATCATATACATTTAAAAATAAGTTAACAAAATGACCACTCAGGTAAGATTTTACAGGAAAAGTATTATTAAATAAAGTCTTGAGAAACATTGCTTGTAGGAAAAAATATTCCAAAAAGTGGGTCTCAGAAGTTGAAAAGTCTAGTAATGTCTCACACTGGGCAGGTATGAAAGATGAGGATGGAAAATGGGCTGGATCCAAACCATACTTGGGCCATTTTTGAACATACTTGGGCCATGCTTGAACATTATGTCTATAACAAGGAGCCACGGAGGTTTTCTGAGCCAACTAGCTTTCAGTGTGACTATTGTTAGTACTTAAATGTAGGTTTGGAAGTTCTTGAACATAATTTTTTTGCTAAGTAGGCTTAGGGGTTGAATTATATCCCCCTTCCCCAAAGACAGGTCTTTACCTTAGAATGTGACTTTATTTGGAAATAGGGTATTTGAAGTTCAATGAAGTTAAGATGATGTTATTTAGGTGGGGCCTAGTCCAATCTGACTGTTGTCTCTAGAGGGAAAACTGCACGCAGACAAACACAGAGATACTTTGTGACAACCAAGGCACAAGATTGAGGGTGGCAGCTGCAGGCAAAGGACATCCGAGGACTGCTGGACACCCACAGAGCTTAGCAAGAGGATCATCCTCTTTGAGTTTTCCAGGGAGCAGAGCCCTACTATCACCTTTGCTGTGAACTTTTCAGCCCCCAGACCTGGGAGAGAAGACACTTTTGTTGTTTGAAGCCAGCCGTGTGTGGTGCTTTGCTACAACCACCTTAAGAAATGAATATAGCAGTTTAAGAGTTTTTCCTGGATAGCTTGTTGGCATCATCCAACATTTACTAACCTTTTAGGTACATCTAAAGGTAAACTTTGTCCTTGTTTGCTATTAAATGTTCTAAAATTCAAAATTAAGAGAGTCTGCTTTAGGAATGTCACTGGGAAACCATGAACTAGTTTTAAATACTCCCTGCCTTGGGCACAGCTGAAGATGGATAGGAGAACCACATGTAGCAAGAGAAATATTAGTCAGTGCACTTTGTGGCCCAATGGCAAAAGTAAAATGTAGGAGCATCCTTTTGGCGCCTTTTGGGTGCCACAGATCCTATGGGCTGCATAAGGCAGGTCTAGATGCAGGGCTCTTGTGTAAGCAGTGAGCTATGTTTGGGTTGTGAGGGGCTTGGAAGAGTGCTCAGAAGCAGGACAGGGTGGAGGATCACATCCGGGGGTTAGAGCTCAGCCAGGTTCCTTTGTCTTACTGCCCAGACACCTCCCTTGCCACTGGCTGCAAACAGCCACAGGTAGTGCTGCAGAAGGACTTCTTAGAATGCAAGTGAGGCCTCAATTTCCTATTAGCTACAGTATCTGATGGAGAACAGTTTCCTTTGAAATGGCTTAACATAAATATGTAAGGTCTACAGACAAGTCTTTCGCAGCCTGACATGGAAGATTATAGGTATTCCGCAAGACAAATAATTAGAGGTTGGAGATATGAACATAGACTTGATAAAAAGAAACAAAAGGCAAGTTGTTGCATATACCTCATCCCAGCTGACATGCAGGTGGCATGGAATAATGGCCATATCAATTCTTAGAAAAGGCACTTGTTTCTTTCATGAATTTGTTCTTGGGGTAAGAGCTGTCCATGTGGTATCTTGGTAGGTGATAGTGCAGAAGGTGAGATAGGTCAGGCATTTCCAAGAGATAATTCTGGCTTTCTGTAATTGCATGGTGCTCGGTCTTGGAGCTCTTCCAGTGCTCCTGGACTGTGCAGGAGGTCTGGGGAGCTTCCAAATCATTCACAACTCTCAGATCCCAGTATTTATCTCCTGGACCAACACAGGACATGATTGGGCTCCACTCTATTCACTCAGGATCACAACTTCTATTTTGTCTCTGGTATCTGGAAAAGACCACTTCCCTCTTATGGGTGGAATGTGTCCCCCCAAATTCGCATGCTGAAGACCTAGTACCTCAGGATGTGACCATATTGGGAAATGGGCTCATTGTAGATGTATTAGTTAAGACAAGGTTATTAGGGTGGATGCCAATCCAATATGACAGATGCCCTTGCAAAAAGGGAAAATTTGGACACAGTTGTTCGAAGAGGAAGAAGGCTACATGAAGATGAAGAGAGAGATTGGGGGTGAGCATTCTGCAAGCCTAGGAGTGCCAGTGATTGCAGCAAAGCACTAGTCATTGGGGGGAGACATGAAGCAGATTCTCTCCGAGTTTTCAAAAGATATCAACCCCGCCGACACTATGATCTCAGGCTTCTAGCCTCTAGGACTCTGAGACAATAGCTGTCTTTTGTTGCTGAAGCTGCTTAGTTTGTGTCACTTTATTATAGCAGCCATGGAAACTGAATGTATTCTGCACTATTAATAAGGAAATCGGACATGGGAAGCCATGAGTATAGAGTGGGCAGGCAAGGAATGAAGCAGATCTTGGGAGCAGCCTCTCAACAGAGGAGTTGTAACAGGGAGGTTGACCGAGATGGCTGGCATGTGTCCCACCTCCTCCGTGGACATAACCCCACGGACTGCCCTGGACTGTTTTTAACCAGGCATCCCCTCCTGCTGCATGCTGGAAGGTCCTTGTGGGGCAGCAGTGATGGGGAGAGAGAGCAAAGGGCAAGGACTCCCAGTCCCATAAACACAGACGAGACATGACAACCAGCTCCTTTTAAATTTAATCACAGACTTGAAGACAGGAAGCTGCAGACATTAATTCCCTAAGGGAAGATATATTAGGATTCCAAGTATATCAGTTATTCTAAAAATAAGAGTAAACATGTGAAGGAAATAAATTAATAAACAATCTAGCCAAATTTTCATTAGAAGACTGCTGCTTTTCCTGCCCTCGGTAAAGCTTAGGATTTTCTTATTAGCTGCCGGGCAGTGAGGCATATGACACTCTAGAACTCTCTCTCTCAGGGTTTTATCTTTTTCTTTCCACCTTAATTCTTATTAGATTTTTCCTGTAAATAATTTCAACGCTTACCAAGTCTAAGCTTAAGAAAGGATAATTTCTTTCATTCACTTTCCTATCTCTGTACAGTCCTTTTGTTATACCTTTTTAAACAACAGATGTGTCTTTAACCTTAAGATATTCATAAAATCAGAGGATGCATATGTATTATGGATTATGGGCTGAATTTTATGTTTTAATAAAGTTTACTTAGTTTCCATCATTAAAATACACACACACACACACACACACATATATAAGTTAAAATAAATAAAATATTTTAAACATGGATTTCTAACTTCTCGGAAAAGCTGAAAGATCTGGTTTCACTGGACCCCTGTTCTGCCTTGGGCATTTCTGGCCGGAACTCAGCAGATGCCGCCCCTTCAGCCGGGAGATGTGTACTCTTACACGTTACTATGGTCCTTCTTGTTTCCTTTTGACTCACAAATCCTTCCTGCCTGGAATAGCAGCCTAATGTGAGAGCAGTGTGCCTCCTTGCTTATGAATTTATTCCTCCTTCCAACTCTGCTTCCTCTTCTCTGTCTTCACTTTATTTGCCATATAATTTTATAGCTATCAAATGCAACCTAAAACTGTTCCTAGACAAGAGGAAACCTGGTTAATATTTACATTACTTGGCTATTAGTAGCACTAGCCAGAAATGGTTGCTTACATCAAATTTGGCAGAGTACACAGAAATCAGCAACAAGTATTGCTTAATCTGAATCACTGCAGATTCACATTTATTAATACTCTGAGCTTATGGGTCATGCTTTTCTAACTAACTAAATAAGTAAATATTTCTTTTAAAATTACAATTTATGGGCTAGGTCTCTAGCAAGAGAATTGGACAGTATTTGATGTAACAAAAGAGCTAAGGTTTGCTAGCATTTTGCAGTTTGCCATGTTTACAGAAGTTCCTTGCTGTGAGCATTGCACTTGATGTTGACTGCTTGTCTTCATGAATGTGGCTTGAGCAGTGTCTGGTATCAAGGCAGTAGCAAAAGGTAATGTGTGAAAGACCGGGGATTTAGCTCAGTGGTTCTGCCGCCTGCCTCGCATGCGCAAGGACCCAGGTTTTATCCTCAGTACCAAAAAAAAAAAGGTAATTTGGGAAAATGTAGAATGATCTGCTTCTAATACTGTTCTTCGTGCGAGCAGGAGACTCACAACATCTAAAAGAAGAAGTGGATAACTAAGCTCATCCAAGCTGGAATAACTGAAGGTGCCAGTGTGACTGCTGGGTTTGACAATGGTGATATTCACAGGCAAGAAGAACTGGAATTGTCAGCAAGCAACTAGAGAAAGGAACCTTTCAGAACCTGAAGACTCAGTGACTGCTTTTGCTATCAGTAATAAAGTCCATTTTCTGTGATCCTGGAGTCTTGTTTCCTCTGCCAGTGCCCTTGAAGTGAGTGAGCTAGCTGTGTGTGCAGCCAAGGGGAAAAGACAGATTTAAGGTAGCATCCCAAATCCTGCATGGTCATTGGTAAGAGAAAGGCAAGGATCCAAGTTGGAAACACAGACTGCATTGCTGGCAAGAAGAGTCTATAACCCATTTCCCTGTTGTATACAGTCTTCTGGGGAGATTTGTGAAGGGTAGACATGGTGGGTCCTCTCTTCCCTTTCCCCCCAAATAAAATACTTTAAGCATGGCTCCCGTATGATGTCACACTAATTATTGATAAGATTTTATTAGAGGCTTGTTTGAGAATTTTATTGCTCTTTGTCTTGACAGTGTTTGTAGTTTTAGGATAGCAACTAGCAGAAAGGTATGCCCATAGTTAAATCTTCTTTTTAATAACTTCAGATCAAAATAACTCAGTCTTGGGGCTGGGGATTTAGCTCAGTGGTTCTGCCACCTGCCTTGCAAGTGCAAGGTTCTGAGTTCAATCCCCGGTACCAAAAAAAACCAAAAAACAAAAATACACCTTAGTCTCAGAGTATGGATGCTCACCAAGTGGACACTGCTAGAGGAATGAGAAACAACTTTGCTAATGTGGAAACTTGGAATAACAGAGCTTTAAGAGAGCAGCGAGTTACCAAGGGGTTAGCCGACCAGACAAGGTGCCTGTGGGTGTGACACATGAAGCAAGCAGAAGGTCAGAGTCCATGTGTACAGATAAAAGCCAAGCTGTAAACGCCAGATCAAAAGGCTAAATACAAAACTCAGTGCTTTGTAAATGTCCAAGATCCAGGAGATGTGGAAGAGAAAGATGTGCAGAATATATGGGGGTCCCAGCACTGAGGAAGGATCTTGATCATCGACGTGAGTACACATCTAGCAGGAGGGTTGGTGCTCTGCCCTCCCCCAGGCATACTCAGTCCCAGCGTGCCCCTGGATCCGGGCTGCAAGTGGTGGTAAGGTAGGAGTGAGGAGACCAAGTAGGGCTTTGTGAATTAGTTCTGGCTGAATTCCTGTATGTGAAGCCAAGAGGAAAAAAAGACATTTTGAGGATGACATCTTACTTTTGAAACACTGTAATAGATTTTCTTAGAGGAGACTAAAAATATGTCACATCTTTCTCAGCATGTCTTCATTAAATCTTGGGTCCTGCTGACATTTCTATTTTTCAATATCAGCATTTTGTCTGCAGATCAGACCTTGATCATCTATTTTAAAAATGTGACCAAGGAAAATAGTGTTGTTCAAATATATAGCTTTTGCTACCAATATACCATCTCTAGATATTCAGAAGAGTCTGTCTGAAATGTGTACAGGGCTATGGAATTATAAATATGTTTTAAATTCAAAATGTGAGATAATGGTATTGGGGAAGCTGACAATGTAGAAATAAGCTTCTAAGAAAGGTGCAGCCTGGAAATAGACACACGCTCTCTTTGTCCCCTCTGTCCTGGCACACATAACCCAAAATTTGGACCCCTACATTTGTGACTCATTTGCATATGTAAGTGCCAGTTGGCAGTATTTTGAACACTTCAGCAGTTCTCTGTGCATCCGTTTAGGTTGGGGCTGTGACTAAAGCCCTGTTTCAATGTGTTTTGTTTTTCCTACCATTTCAAAATGAAGTCATGAGCTTGGGACCTCTTCCAAGAAGGTCCAGAAAGTAACTTTATCTCCACACTTTTCCTATCTTATCCCTTGCATTGTTCCATATCTCTGGAAAATGATACCGAGAGATCTCGTGGTCACTTTGGTGGATCCCAATATGTTTAACAGTGATTTAGGGTAATGTTTGAGAAGCTATCCAAGGAGGATGAGTTTCAGGTGACTAGAAATGTTGGCTTCTGTTAGTGTTGTGCAGTGATTTTTGGAAGAAAGTGAACAAAGGCTAGATGCAAGTAGAGAAGCTCATCACACAAATTTCCATTTCCTCTTGGGATCTAGTTTTTTTTTTTTCCAGGTTAAATCTTTGTGCTGAGATTTCTTTTTTTTTTTTTCCTTCTTTCCTCCTTTGCTCTCCTCAAAGTCCTCCAAGAATGCACCACCAAGTCAATGTACATGAGTGCCTTTGCAATGACATTGAGTGACACCCAGCAGTTGCAGTTGGTTCACCAACAGAAACACCAGACAGCAGGGATGGCAGCTGGCAAATGTCTTTGAGGAGGATCATGAAAAGGTGGGATAATTTTTCAGTTCAATTTTTACTTTAAGGTTAGTTTTTCTTTGTAATGATTCATGCCTCCAAGTTAATGAACGGGAATATGGGGAGATATCTAACCCACCCATTTCCAAAACCACCTACTTTCTCTCCATGGAGGTATCTGTCAGATTCTGTTTCTCATTTCATAGATATTTTATGCATGACAAAGCTGCTTCCTTGGAAGATTAGTGTGAGGCACCATGGAATAATATTAGCTGACTTTAAAAGGAGACTGTATGCGAACAGGTGAAGCTGGGTTTCTTGTTCTGTACAATGGTTCTACTTGGACTCTAATCAATGGTGATTTGTGCTTTGAAAAACAAAAATGTGAAGTCCAAAGGTAATTTCAGGATGAAGGCAGAACATGATGTTGACTCAGGTATTAGAAAACCTTCCTTACATGAAGTCTCTTTGATATTTGTATCCTGATGAAATAGGATAGAAATCAAGGACAGTGGCCAAAGTACCTCTTGAATCACTGCCTTGCCACTAAGATCCAAAGGCTGAGTGGGAAACAAGTTCTGGATTTGTAAAGTCAAATCAGTGAATAGCTTAAGCATTGCTAAGCATGAATGCTTCTGTGATTTGTGGGGAGATCTTGCTAAAAGGCAAGTGCTGATTGGTGAGCTCAGGATGTGGCTCAAGAGTGCATTTCTAATGAGTTTTCAAGTGCTGCTAGTTGCTAGTTCTCAGATTATAGTAGGAGTATTAAAGACAAGTACTCAGATCCTACCTGCAGAAATCCTGTTTCCATGGGCTTAAGACAGAGCTAGGAACCCTGACTCCAGATGTCTTACCCCATCCTGAATGTAGTTTGACATCAGAATATACTTTGAGAAACCCAGTTTCTATACCTGAAATCTTACTTCTCATGCATAGAGTTGGTATCATAGTCACAGAGAATAGGACATGCATGAGGAGGGGAGAGATAAGAAAGAGGCAGGATATAGCTGTGGGAGGGTGCCTGTTTATATGCAGGTAGAAGGGTAAATCAGTGGTGTATTCTGCAGTTGATTTTCTACTCACCAGTGAGCAGACTATCTTCATTTCTCCGCTTTAGGCTTTGAGATAGTTCCTTCAGAGAATGTCAGCTGACAAACTATACTTTAAGATTTCTGATTCACAATGAGCTTTGGTTCCAGCTATATCATCTTCAACTTATCCCAGTGAGGTGAGTGGGAGGTCCCAGAACTCTGATGATTTGCCCTGTAAAATCTTATCCCAGTACACCCAGATTCCCTCACTAAGGCCGATTAGTCTCTGGACTTCTATTTGGCTCTTAGACTTACTCTGTGCAAATGCTGAAAGGGAAATGTGCCCAGATTTTTTAGCACAGACCTGACCTCTGTTTAGGCTCTGGACACTGGCTTACAACCCAGTTGGCCTTGATAGATGAGTAAATAATGTCTGTCTCCATTTTCTGGGAAACTGGGCTCTTTCTGTAAACTCAGGCCCTCCAGGAGAGCTTGCCAAAGCATGGCTCCCTGGAGGTCAGGGTTGCACTGCTGCTGTAGGCATCTGCATCTAGGGCTTGGCGTCAACAGATCAGGTGCCCACAGAGTACGAGGTAGGGAAGGAAGGAAATGGCCAAAGTGATGAATTTCAAAAATATTTTTGTCTCGCAGATCCCGGGACCCTGTTTAGGACATCGTAAGATAACAGCATGCTACTCCCTTCTTATGGTGGTCTGCCAAACTTCTACTGAACAGGGTGAGTGGGGAACTAGGATTGAATTTGTAGCCACTTTGTTTCCCCTGGTGTTCATTTGGTACAACTTGACCACACACAGACACACGAACCACATAAGGAGGTATGAAGTTCTCTATAATTGTGCACCTGCATTTGCTAATGTAGGAAGTGAAAATAACATAAATCCACTCCATCCCACACAGCGCAGAAACACCAGCCAAAAAAATCCCCTTGCAAAATGCCACAGAGACTCCCATTCAGCCCACACCCTTATGCAGACCCAACATTTGAGCACCTGGTATGCGGGACATAACACCTCATGCCTTGTAGGCCATGCTGTTCAGGGTGGGAACAGGAGATTTAGGCATTGATACCCAGTGTGCACCCCCACTCCAAGTACCTACACATTATCTAACTCTCATAGCATGGTCTTGAGGTGACAGGGGAATTATTACTTTTTCGTAATCATAGAAGGTGGCACAGCCCATGTTGGGGGTTGAATTGTGTCTCATTCAAAATTTGTATGTTGAAATCCTAATCCCTGGTATTACAGAATGTGATCTTATTTGGAAATAAGCTTATTACAGATGTAATTTTCTAGGTTATGATAAAGTCATTAGAGTGGGTTCTAATTCAATATGACTTGTGTCCTCATAAAGCGGAAAAATTTGGACATAGACATATGTACAGGGAAGATGCCATGGGAAGATGAAGCCAGAGACTGGGGTAATGCTGTACAAGCCAAGGAGTGGCAAAGATGTCCGGAGAGACACTGGGAGCTAGAAGAGTGGTATGGGATGGCCTCTTTGTCACAGTCCTAAGCACTCTGCCACTGAATTATACTCCCAGCCCGAGTGTGTGGCACATTGTTATTACAGCTCTGGCAAATGAATGCAGCCTCTAAGTAACAGATATAGGGACATGATAGATTTTCTGCATCCCTTTCTATTATGACTATAAGTTGTTACAGCAATAGGGAGGTGAGGGTCTGAGACCATGGCACTATTAATATTTCAAAAGCCAGTGGGGAAGCATCTTTATCTGCCCTCTGCCACGTTCAGACCCACTCAGTGAGTCAACTGTGAAGAACTGTTCCTTTATACTCCTGATGGTCTCCACAGGGCCTATGGCACTTGTTCACAGGCCATATGCCCCTCTGCTCCAGTTACTCTCGCTGCATGGCTAACCACCCCAAATCTTAGTTGAATAACACAATAGCCATTTTATTGTATCTTATTGGTTTTAAAGTTCAGGAATCCAGGGAGCTCTTATTTGGATGTTTCTTCTGTGCCTCCCTGAACTTACCAAGGTCCATAAGCAGTTTTCAGTTACCAGAAGGGCTGGTCTGGAGGAACCGGGACAACCTCGCTCACCTGCCTGGTGCTGCAGTGAGGATGGTTGGCAAGAAGCTCTCAAGTGGGATTGTTAACTGAAGTCCTTTCACCTAATAACTGCAGCACAGGGCTTTGGCTTGCTTTAATATTTCACATGGATGCTAATTTTCTGCATAATGGGCACCCCAAGATAGCCAGGTAGAAACTCTATGGCCTTTTATGACCAAATAATGGAAATCTCAAGTATTGTTTCTATCATACTTTATTGGACTACTTGTCCCAGTGGCCAACCTAGATCCAAAGAGAAGTCTCAAAGATAGCTTTTGTTGGAAAGAGGATAAAAATATGTAGTTACCTAAAGACAGTAACATTGTTATACTTTCTCATCTCTTGGGTGACAAAGAAGATACTATACAAACAAATATGTTACTTTTCTCCAAACCCAGACTTTTGTATCCCGAGGGCTAGAGTTGGTGGGTGTAAACATCCTCTGAAGCATGCTGTTTCCCTGTTTTATGGTTGAAACTGCTCAAGGACCTCAAAATCTGGCCTATGTTGTATCTACCTGTGGTCTAGGAAACTCTCATGAGGCCCAAACGGAAATGAAGAGTTAAATAAGACACCTTGAAGTCTGGAGTTTCCAAATAGTTACTGTCTTATCCTACCACTGCCTACAACTTCATGCCTCTAGAATTAGCAGCTTCCAAAAGACTTGCTTACTCAGAATCTCTCTCTCTTTTTTTGTTTTTTGCTTAAATTCTTTTATTGGTACATTTGAGGTATACAATATGTTTACATTTATCATTGGGTGCTTGTGCCTGTACATGATGTATCTTGGTTCTTATTTTTTCCCCATTCCCTGTGCGCCCTTCACCCCTCCACCCTTCCCTATTTACATACTTTGTTTCCATTTTTTTTTCTTTTCTCATAATTTTTCCTTTCCCTTCTTTCCTTTCCCCATCTGCTCCCACCACCCCATCCCTTTGGACCTTTTCCTATTTCAAAGTATCAATTATTAGTTATTAATCCTTTTAATCCTTATTTACACTCTCAGTTTTTTACACTAGAGAAACTATTCGGTATTTACACATGTGTGTCCTATTTATTTCACTTAAGAGCATGGCCTCAATATGCATCCATTTAGGTATAAATGTCTCTAGTTTCTCATTCTTTATGGCTGAGTAGTACTCCATTTTATAAAAAAACCATATCTTCTTTATCCAGTTTCCAGTTGATGGGCACTTGGGCTGTTTCCAAGCTTTAGCTATTACAAACTGTGCTGCTATAAACATGGTTGTACATATATCTCTGTGGTATGATTCTTTTAATTCTTTTGGGAAAATACCCAGCAGGTCAATAGCTGGGTCAAATGGGACCTCCAGCCCTAGTTCTTTGAGGTATCTCCACACTGATTTCCATAGTGGTCGCACCAGTCACTCAGAATCTCTTAAAAGCAGCAAGGATTGCTGCCCTCACCTGGTCCATTTACTGTCTTTAGGAGGCTCAATGGCAGGGTAAATAGGCTGGAACAGCAAAGCTCCCTGGAAAAGTGGAGACTACATCACCAATCTGTGTCCTTTGCAGCATACTTCTCTTGACATTGACCCTGTAAACCAAATATAGAGCACAAGGGGACTGGATTTTCTGTTTGCCTTTTGTGTCACTTTCATTTGTTATTCTAGTCTCTATCCACTTCTATCTTGCCCTACTTTCCTTGGGTCCTCAAGAGTCTGGGACTCCCTAAAGAGCCTAAAGCTAATGAGTCCCATTAGATTCACAGCTTCCTATCAACTGCTTGACAATGTGAGACAAGACACAGTAGAAAAAAGAACAATTGATATTTAATCCCAACATTATACCATAGTTGTATGAAAATAAGAACCATATAATACTTTTTCCTTCACAAAAATGCATGGTAGTATGTACAGCGCATAATAGATATTCACCAAAAGTTTGTGGGATGGAACAAAAGAGGGGTTACAATTTTCTTACTTTTTGCGTGTACGTGCTTGTGTCTAAGGCAGAATGTGGAGCAAGAATGTGGAAAGGAGGAGGTGCAGAGTTGGAAGCTGGAGACCTTGAACTACGCTGAGACTGACTGGGAGTCACTGGGTTGCTGGCTGGATTACTTGGGTCAGACAGAACCTAAGTGGAACAGAAAGCAGATCTTCTGCTTTCAGCATGGAGACATTTTTCCAGGTGCTAAAATTCATGTGCTATGGTGATAAACTGCATTTTTGTGCTTCTGTGAAGAAAATGCAGGCTTATTTTTGTGCGCAATTCAAAGCTCATTGTCTACATGTCCTACACAGGCCTGCATGCCCCCAGACAGCTTCCCACAAGGTATTTCTTTTTCATTCTGTTCACCACAATCCACAATTGAGCTTTCATTTCCAATATTTTATAGAAACTTTTAAAAGTAAACTTGAATTTTAAAACAGGCTACATTTTCCTAGTCTTGATTCTTCTACATTTCATCATTCAGTAGCAACTTATATATTTTTTGTTTGAAAAAGTTATTTCATTATATAAGTTGTATTTGCTCATTATCAGTTCAAATATTCACTACTCCATGGTGGTTCTCCTTGCTTTGATGGTGGCCTTAGTGATTGTTAATGAGTAATGTTAGGGAGTCACTTTTCTCAAGTTGACAGCTAAGCTGATTGAGGTGATGGACAGAGTTGGGGAGATAGTCAGGAGGCTTTGATAATAATCTGATCGGGAGGTAATAAGAGACAATACCAAGTGGGAACAAAAGGCATTTTAAAGACAAATAGATAGTCTTGAAGAAGAATCAAAAGTATTTGCTAACTGATTAGACAAAAGAAAGGAATCCCGAGTGGTTTCTAAGTATTCAAGTGTGTGATTGTGATGTTACAGCTGACAGAAACTGAGAAATCTGAAAGGGAATTTGGTTTGGAGAAAGATAAGGGCTCGGTTTTTGACATGGTAAGTTTGAGGTGTTCTGGATAAATGCTAACACATTGTGAGCCATGGGTTAGTGGTATATATGAAACTTGGGCAGCTTAGCCCTCCTCCTGCCAGAGGAAAGGCCCTGATATGGTCAAAATTATAAGTAGATCATGAAATTTGGGGTAAAGCAGAAGGGAGGTGTGGAGCGGTTAGTGTTCTCTCTTCCGCATGTAGGGACTATTTCCTCTTTGAATGATCTCCATCTTAGAATAATTTTTCATGCAGCTGGTGTGGTAAGGTGGGAACGGGGATGTTTCCCACAATGGCAGCATTCCATTCTATCTTTAAATTCATTCCACTGTACACACACACACACACACACACACACATGCTCACACACACACGCAATTTAAAAACCTATTGAGGAACCAGGGTAGAGGCTTCTAGAAAGAGAAGAGTCTCGCCCTTTTCTGTTCCTTCCTCCAAACCTTAAACTAAATGGATAAAATTAGTCTTTGTAGTTCACATATAGTCCAGATGGAGACTGTGCAGGCATGTAATTCCAACCTTCTAGTTGGGAGCAATGTTGCAGGGGTAAGGATTCACAATAGGGGAAGGAACTTGGCATTAAGGACTTGGCATCCTGGTCAAATTTTTAGGTGAATAATACATAATTTTGCTGGTGCCCAAAGAAACAGAGTGTTTGGGTATATGGTTTTAAGTTTCTCATATTTAGATGGTAATCTAGCACACCATTATTGATGAAACCTATGA